TGCACACATTTATCCCAAGCCCAGACCTGCCAAGTTCTACTGCTGCATCCCTTAAATTTGACAGCTAGACCTGAGCAGCCCCTGGAATGTCAACATTTGTGCCTCCCTTCGTATCTGCCAAATACAGTTTCAGAATAGGGCAGAACAGCTAGAAGTGTGCGTCTAGGAGAGTACTGTTTTGCTGAAAGCCCTTGGAAATTCCAACTCGGTGCAACAAACGCTGGCGCTCAGACGTGTGTGCTATGTGCCATTCCCCCATGCCTCACAAAGCACATTGCATCTTTAGAAAATGGGTTCTTCTGTATTCATTTTCTTAAAGGCTTGACTATGGGATTCAAAGCTGGAACTCTAATTCTACATTACTTTTCTCTCTTCAGACCCTTAACTATGATTAATATAAAAGGACCTTGTTAAAAGCTTTGAACAGGCAACTTTGGTATTGGTGCATATGGGACTGCCTCCACTTACACCATTATGCAATTTAACGTCATATGAAATATCCAATTTGCCTTGTGCTCTCTGCTTAGCAGAAGCTAGACATGCCTTTTTTAAAAACAAGTTTTTAACTAAGTTGGTAGGCAGAAGCGTACTGTTCCTTGTCAAGTTACATGTTTTCTTCCTTTTAAAGAGATTTAACATAAAATAAAGGTAAATAAATTCCAGAATGACTTCTCAGAAAACAGAATTTCCATATCTTTTCATGAGCTAATCAGGATTTTTGTTGTGATAGTGAAACAATCTGGAATTCACCAATTTAGTGAACAACAAAAATGAAACCAGTTTTAATAAAAAGATATCCCTTTCCCAGGATAATGCTGACATGACACCTTCTGGAGAAAATATACTGAAATAAGACAGCACTGTATTTATTCAGTTACCCAGGTGTGGTGCAGTGGATTGTGTGATGAATTAGGACTTGGCCATGGAAGCTCATTGGGGGTGTACAACTAGTAAAACCATTCCTTAAATATCTCACTTAACTTGAAAGCCCTATTAGAGTCATTATAAGTCAATTCTCACTTGATGACACATAACTAACAAACATCTTTATTCAAGAATGATTCCCTAGGTTGGCATGCTGCAAATTGAGCGAGTGAAAGATTAACCTCTTACGAAGCAGTCTGACAAGGACATGTGAACTCTCAAGGTTGGGGAGAAAGGACTAAGAAAATAATAACCTTATTGATCACATATTCTAGAGAGGACATGTCAGGATGCAAATTGAACACCAAAGCAAGGAACCCCAATTTTTGCTGATACCTTCTATAGGAGTGGAAAGAAGAGAGTATAGCCCAGCCATAGTTATGATGTGGTGTCAAGTTGATTTTGACCTATGACAACCCTTTCTAGATTTTCTAGGCCTAAAATATTTAGACATGGTTTACTGTTACTTCCTTCTGATAACTCTTTGGACATTGCACAGGTGACTGGGCACTTAATCCCATCATCTCAGTGATTTTAGGTGAGTCCTTCACCACAAAGGTACAGTGGGGTTTTGAACCCATGGTCTCTGACTCTGTAGCCAAGTGATCAGTTAAATCAGATAGGGAATCTGTAGCCCTTTATATGATTTTGGACTACATCTCCCATAATCTCTGTTTATTGTTGGTGCTGAGTGGGGTCCATAGGAATTAGATTCTACAGGTTCATCACCCATAACATAAGAATTCATTCATTTTATATGTTTGGATACTGTGTAGTATTCTACAATCAGCCAACTGATTTCACTTTCAAAAGAGTTGTTGCTGTTTCTTACAAATACATTTTAATTGTTTCCAAGCCAGGGAATGTGATGAGTAAAAGTACATGTTTCAGTTCAGAAGCTTGGGAGCAGTACTTTTTGTACTGCAGCCCCCAGAAACCCATGCAGCAGGACCCTGGACATTTCCAGGTTTTGGTACCTGTGTCTCACCTCCTACACAGGGTTAAAGATTAAAGAAAACTTCCTCTATGGGTGGGGGCATCTTTTTTCATTAAAATTGAATTGGGCAATTAGAGAAAAGAAAGCACATAGAGATAGTTCATTCATTCATTCATTCGGCTTTTACCCCGCCCATCTAGATTCAAACGAATCTACTCTGGATAGCTTATAGTCCGAGCAATATTAAAGAAGAATTAAAACAATGTACCAAAAAAAAAAAAGAAAGAAAGAAAGAAAAGAAAAGAAAAGTAAGCAAAGTCCAAGATGGGAAAACACAAGGAACTAAGTATGGAAGCAGGGAAGGCCTGCCTGAAGAACCAAGTCTTCAGCTTGTTCTTAAAAACTCCCAGCGAGATTGCCAGGACAATCTCAAGAGGCAAGATGTTCCAGAGCCGAGGGGCTACCACCAAGAAGGCCTGGTTTCTAGTTCTCTCCTTCTGGGCCTCTCTTGTGGTCAATCCCCTCAGCTGCCCAGCCTGGCTAGATCAAGTGACACAAGTATTGCTAGGTGGGAGCAGGCACTCTGCCAGGTATCGAGGTCCTAAACCATTCAGGGCTTTATATGTAAGCATTAATACCTTGAAATCAATGCAGAAACGAATGGGCAACCAGTGTAAGTCCGCCAGAGTAGGGGAAATGTGATGGTACCCTGTTTCCCTGAAAATAAGACCTAATCTGAAAATAAGCCCTAGTATCATTTTTCAGGATGCTCATAATATAAGCCCAACCCCCAAAATAAGCCCTAGTGAAGTGAAACACCGCCCTCTACCATTGTGCAGCAACCAGAAGAAGGTGACATGACTGTGTTTGAATAAATGTAATTGTTGTACATGGAAAAAAAAATAAAACATCCCCTGAAAATAAGCCCTAATGCATTTTTGGAGCAAAAATAATATAAGACTCTGTCTTATTTTCGGGGAAACAAAGTATTTTTTTCACCCCAGGTCATAGCCTGGCAGCCGTATTCTGGACCATTTGTAGTTTCCGCATCACACATAGAGCGCTTTACAGTAGTCTAATCTCGAGACTACGAGCACGTGGGCCAAGACTGGTGTGCAGGTGGGCAATCCACCAAAGATGTAGACGGGCAGATTTAGGTGTTACAGTAATTCTAACAGTTAAAATCACTAGGCAAATTTTATAAATTTGTTCATGAGTCACAAATAATTCTGTATCTGATTCTAGCAGTGCATCCATGAAGTAAAGACTTTGATAGATGAAATTCTTCTAGATGGACGAGTCCATTGAAGGAAGAAGGAAAATTTAAGATCCAGTCTAGTGAGCGTGTATAGGAGTTTGTGAACCATGGATAATAGCAAAGAGGAAGTGTAGGGTTATGTATAAAAGACTAAGGGCAAAGGAGATACTCTGTTTCATAACCATCACAAGCAGTCAATAAACAGGCAATCTTTTGCTGCACCATATTACACAATATGTACCTTGTGAAGACATCACTTAACTCAACTTTAAAATAGATGTATATAAGTCAGCTTATAGCATCACTATTGTAATTTTTGTGTTTTAATGTGAAACAAAGAAAGACAATGGGGGATTTCATGGTGTTGCAGAGTGATAGTTTTTGAGCATTTTGAAGAGTCAGAAATTTGCAACAGTAAGCAACATCAATCCAAATGGAGAGTGCAGCCAGGAAATCAGAAAAAGGCTAAGATTTGTAAGGGCAGCAATGAAGGAACTAGGAAAGTTCATCAGGTGCAAGGGTGTGTCAGTGGAGACGAAGATCAAGAACGTCGATGCACTTGTATTTCCAGTCATCGTGTATGGGGATAAAAGGAGGACAGTAAAGAAAGCTGACAGGAAAATATTGATTCTTTTGAAATATGATCTAGAGGAGAGCTGTGCGGGTATCCTGGACTGCCAGTGGATTCTAGATGAACTCAAGTGTGAATTGTCTCTGGTAGCAAAAATGATGAAACTGAGGCTGTCCTACTTTGGGCACATCATGAGAAGTCAGGATTCTCTGGGAAAGACATAATGTTGGGAAAGCTGGAAGCTGAATCATGGCAACTGGTCTTCTTTTTTATTAGGTTGAAACGTTTTGCTGGTCATCCAAGTAGCTTCTTAAGTCTCAGAAGAAGCTACTTGGATGACTAGTGAAATGTTTCAACCTAATGAGAAAGAAGTCCAGTTGCCACAGCTCATCTTCCAGATAACCTCATCTGGATGACTGGGAATCTCCACAGATATAAATGTTGGGAGAGGTTGAAGGCAACAGGAAAAAGGAAGACCAATTGCAGGATGGATTGACTCCCTAAAGGAAGCAACAGGCGTGAGTTTACAAAAACTGAGCAGGGCGGTTGAAAATAGAACATTTTGGAGATTGCTCATTTATAGGATCATGAGGCTTGAGTTTACAAAAACTGAGCAGGGTGGTTGAGAATTTTGGAGATTGCTCATTTATAGGATCACGGTAAGTCAGAGATGACTTGATGGCACATAACAACAAGCAACAAAGAAGAGAGCAGGTTGTGTTTAGAATATGGAATCTCGCTGCCAGCATAAATCAGTGATTGACTCTCCTGTGTATTAATGTGCTAGAACTCCCTAGTAACAGAGAATTCTAAGTACTGCACTAAACTACATGTCCCATGCTTCCACAGGATGGAAGCAATGTCGTAGAAGATGGCCAAAAATACATAATGTAGATACGCTCGTAGTTTCTGAGTCCATAACGAATGATCAGATTCTCAGGAGGTAGTGGAATAACGGCCTGGCTGGTGAGAACTATAATGAATTTAAGCCATAATTTGGTGGTTTATCTATAGCTCTGGTGAGAGTATTTGATAGTGTTTTTGCATCATTTAGAAAGAAAGGGGAGATAGGCAGAATGGGCAAATCTATGGCTTGGCAGAACATTGTTGCTCATCAGTCACATACCATTACAGCCTGCACATTAGGACTGGGGGCAACTTACGCTTGTGTTGCCATTTATGCAAATGAAACTTTATTCACACAGCACAGTTTTTCATAGAAGAAACAGCTCTATTTTATTTTTCTTTGTGACTATTTTTATGATAACTCATGCCCCTCCCTCCCCCCTTTTCTCTCTCTCTTTCGCCAGAGGATGTTAAGCAAGTTTTTGGACAGACCACAATTCACCAGCAAATTCCCTTCAACTGGAATTCAGAGTTTGTGCAACTGCATTTTGGAAAAGATCGGAAAAGACGCCTAACATACGCAGAGTTCACCCAGTTCTTACTGGTGAGTTTTGGCAATAAATATTGTTAAGTCTGAATAAATAAAACAAAATGTTAGAGTTGCAAGGTTTAATCCCCCACCCTTCCAGATTTCATTGCACAGTAGATATTTGTATTTTTAGACTGCTAAATTCTTGTGTGGGTGCCCACCAAATGCAGTTGGCCAGTGGTGAAAGTTCTGCATAAGCAGTAATTTTTCTTTTGGCATCTGAAAGCAGCATAGATATTTTTGAAACTAATCCAGTCACCATGTTCACTTAAACTTGTAGGTGTGGTTCTAGGGAGTTGGCACTTAAGATGCTTACAAGCAGTAGGCTGTGTACATTTTTCATTCAGCTGTGTTGGATATTTGTAACCAAAGACAGGATATTTTGAGCTGTCATTGAATGAGATACAACTGAGACAAACACTGCCAAACCTAAATTCTGGAAATATCAGCTTTGGTTCTTAAGACAGATCAATGGATTCCTTCTGCCAGAAAGCTCTTGTGCAACCCCTTCTTGAAAAACTGGCAACTAAGAATTGCATGGGATTTGTTAGAGGTCAACTACCATGTTTCCCCCAAAATAAGACAGGGTCTTATATTAATTTTTGCTCCAAAAATGCATTAGGGCTTATTTTCAGGGGATTTTTTTCATGTACAACAACCTACATGTATTCAAACACAGTCATGTCACCTTCTTTTGATTGCTGCACAATGGTTGAGGGCGGGGTTTCACTTAAGTGGGGCTTATTTTTGAGGTAGGGCTTACCGTATTTTTCGCTCCATAAGACGCACAGACTTTCCACCCCCCTGTTTTGTGGGGGGAAAGTGTGTCTTATGGGGCAAAAAATACGGTATATTATGAGCATCCTGAAAAATGACACTAGGGCTTATTTTCAGGTTAGGTCTTATTTTTGGGGGCAGCAGGGTAGCTACTGTGCAAATGGCCACAAAACATTTTAAAGACTATCAGGTACTATGTGTGATGAGGGTATGGAAGAGAGAGAAAGAGAGAGAGAGAATGGTGGTTTTAAAATATGGACAGCAAGTACAGTGCTTGAAGAAATGACATTTTTTAGCTAAAACAGCAACGAACATGCTGGCTAGAAAAATGTGACAGTTATAGCCAAAAAATTGAACTTTTCCAAGCTCTGAAAAAGTTCTCACTGTAACTCAACATCTTTGATTACAGTTGACATCGATATTTTCTTCTGTATTTACAATTGAGACATGAGCGTACATTTCTTTTTTCTCTCTCTTGTGGGATGGTATGTACTTAAAATAATCTGCTTTAAAAGCATTATATGGTTGGCAAAAGTAGTGCTAAAACCTCATGAGACTGGTAGATAAGTCAGGATGAGTGCTTTTGTTTTCTTCTGTAAAAAGCTGTTACACAAGAGAGTTATGACAAAGGATCATATTTCAGGACTGGAATCTGTAATTTTGTTTACATAAGAATGTTAGTTCACAGTAGGAAGTGTTATCATTTTGATGAGGAATAATTAAGATAATGCTACCAAGGACAAATGTATCAAATTGACTTGGTGGAGTAGAGCCTAATTAACTCTTTGTCTGAAGAGGATGTTGGTTGTCTGATATGGTATAATCACATTCTGTTTTAATGAGTGTTATTTTGCTACCTTTAGTCGCCTTAATATCTAGAATCTTGCATGTTTGGAAACTGCTGGGAAATTTCCAGTCCATTTCATGGACTTGCTGTTCTAGATCCACAGCACCATCCCACAAGTATAGGTTTTTACCACACAACTGTCAGTGCAGCACAGGAATTGATCTGGTAGTGTGATTGACCCGAAATGCTTAGTGCAGAACTTCATTCAACTATTTGGGAGTTCAAGTCATCTCACTGAGTTCCTGTGGTATGGATGTGAAACAAGACATATAGCCTTGTTCACATAATTGTGATTCCTCTGGATTACTCTGTCAAAACCAAAATGTTCTTCTAGGACTTATTTAGATTCTCCCCGTTGCTCATCACTTTCAGGTATTTGGAAAGTGTTGGTTTTTTCTATAAACTATGAATGGCACCCACCAGAAATGTCAAATTTGGATTATCCAGGCCATTTTGTTGCCCCAGGCAAAGATGACACATCATTACTCCATGTAGAAAAGTGAACTGGATCAGCTTTGGAATCTTTCTTCAATACTGGCAAGGTTCATCTTACGTGCCCTGAAGCTACCGGCCAGTGTGAGGGGTTCAGAACAGGCTTTGTGACCTAGCCAACTCTGTCTTTCAAGATAAGAGAATCCAAGAGAAATGGCTAGTGAGTTGACATTCCTGCTTCCACCAGTATTGTCACCTGAGACAGTTGACCCACTCTGCCTAGTGAAGCGGTGCATGACCTTAGTGAGGCTATGGGCCATTTTTTCAGACTTGTGTATGTATCTCTACCTATGTGTGTCTATGTACAATGGCTGGCCAGTTAAACATCATACTGCATATAAAACATGTTATTGAATACCCTGTATCTTCTATGCCCAGAGAGGGCTCTGGGGTCTACGGGTAAATACACACATTACATCCTATCATTCAACCTTGAAGCATGCAAAAATGGAAACAAGAAGTGACAAAATATAGAAATGCCCTTTCCAATTTGGGGGCTAGGATATGGGCTACAATTGTTATAAGTTTTGTTCTTTATATCTGAGCTTTTATGCATAGAGGCGTGAGTCTCCTGACATGGCTTCACTCATTGAATTAGGAACAACAGACAAAGAAAATGGTTGATTTATATGTATTCTTCTAGGAATGGCTTACACTGTATGGAAACATGGGTATGATTTAGCTGCTCATAACTGTCTTGCACTTGGCTCCAGAGCATCTGAATTACTTCAGATTCTTGAATGTGTCCGGATAAAATCTAAAACCCATGACTGGGTAATACTTCTTTTACAACTGACAAAGGATGCAACACATTGACAAAAAATAGGGCAAAGGCTACAGGATTGGGAATGGGCTGATTCACTCCCCCCCCGTTTGACCACATGATATAAATACAAATGCAAATCAGCCTGCAGTTCCCCTCCTATTGTGTAATTTTTACTTCCATAACCATTGGATCCATTCACATAAATTTAGACCAGTGGTGGCGAACCTTTTTGGGCTCGCATGCCCAAAATTGGGGGGGGGGCAGTGGGTGGCATGCCGTCACCGCAATAGCGGCGGTGACAGACCCGGAAGTGGCAGTTTAAGGGGGAATCATGCTGACAGACCCGGAGGACCCGGAACAGGAAGTGGCAGTTTAAGGGGGAATCAGGGTGACGGACCCAGAGGACCCGGGAGTGGCGGCGGAAGGGGGAATCCCAGCTGCAGCCGCTTCATGAGGTTTGGCTGTGCGGGGGGCGGGCGGGCAGGAGGAGTAGTGACATATGGCTCACATGCGAGAAGAAAGGGCTCCGTGTGCCAACTGTGGCACATGTGCCATAAGTTCGCCATCACTGTTTTAGACAGTGTGATCACTTTAACTGATACAAAAAACTGTGACCCTTCACTCTCTGCCATTCTTCTCCAGGCAAAATATACCTTTTCTTTTCTTTTCTAGACAGCTTGTTGCTTGCACTATTTGCTTGGCCACCTAGATATAAAAAGAGAGAGAGAAAGAGATAGAGAAAGAGAGTTGGAAAAGAGATGAGGAAATTGCCAGTCTGCCCTTGTTTACAGTTTACTACTAGTTCCTCTGCAGCTGCACCTCCTGTAGGGCTATAGTAGAGTTACAGTAATAGGTGGCAAACAAGGGGAGCCAGTTAACATGAACTGACCCAGGGGAATCCTGATTTCCTGGTGTGATTTCACAAAAAGTGAATTTGTATTTCTCTGGCTTGTAGTCACACTCTAAAAGTCCACAAGATTGTGAAGGCTTTCAAGTTCTCCAAAATGATCAGGCAAGATGATACAAAAAAAAAGCTAAGAAGCAGGGTGATCCAAATATTTGACCAAATATTTTATCCATGAGATCTTCAGTTTAATTCAGTCTCAAGCTGGAAATTACAGTGTCATTGGTAAATGTGCAGATTTCCCATTACACTTAGCAAGACATGGTGTCATGGAGGTGGACTGATGTGAAAACACAATGCAGGATGAAACCCAGATGCTCATTCAACATCCTGGAACATCAGTTAGAGCTCTCTGACTCTGATCTGTAGGATCACATGGGAATATAGAGCAGAAATCTTGCTTTGAAGCAAAGTGTATAGGAAGTGTATAGGAAGGAAGTTCATCAAGTAGGTGTACATGGGCAGGTTACATCTAAGTAGAAAATATCATGATTCTAAACAGGTGTAGTAAATGCACTGCAGCCTGGGACAAACTTTATCCCTTCAGATGTTTTAGACCAACTCTTTTTCTGCCTATTGGTTCTGCTGCCTTTGACTTCTGAGAGTTGAACTCCAAAAGATGTGAAGGACCAAAGGTTAAGAGCCCCTTGTCTATGTGTCCTTTCCCTCACAGAACCAGACTGTTAACCCTTGTGTCAGGTATTCACAGAGGATTACAATGGTTTTCTGTACACTTTTTTCACACAGATTCATTTTTGCCTGTGGGATCTCTGCAGTGTAGTGTATGGGACCTTCCACCATACATGTCCCATCTGTTATTCCTTACAGCTATTTGTTGAATGAGCATGCATCACCACCACCCCCAGACTTGCCAGTAGAACAATACCAGTATTACTGTATGCAGATGACACGTAAATACTTTCTAGAACACCTATTGGGCTGATGAAGGGTTTAGCTGATTTGTTTAAGGATAAAAAAGTTGCCAGATTGAAGGATTGGCTGATTAAAATGATAGATAGATAGTTGGACAAATGAATGGCTGAAAACTAATGGCAAATGTAGAGAATGTACTAAGTACGAACAATTTCTATCATCACATGAAGACATGCAGAAAGATGCTTTGAGTAGAATTTATAACAATCTTGGAACAAGAGGAAAAAGACAGAAACAGAAGGTTTGAAATCAATTTGGGAAAATGATTTAAAGACAGAAATTAAAACAGAAGATTG